TAAAATTCTGTTGCATTTTTATATACAAATAAATGAGACATTTAATTTTTTTATAATTTATATTCAATTTTTAATATTAATATCTCAGATACAAGATGTTAATATTAATACTTTAATATTAATAAATGAGGAGAAAAAAAATCAAGAAAATAATTTACAACTGGATCAAAAAGAAATAAATACCTAGAAATAAGCTGCATTAAGGTGGTGATGGGTTTATATAATGAAAACCTTCAAAGGGGCCTCCCCGGCGGCACAGCGGTTGGCGGCACAGCGGTTGAGCGCTGGGTTGCAAAGCTGCCCACAGTCTCTGCAGCGCCGGTTCGATCCCTGGCCGCAGGGTGAGGGTCCCAAACGGCATGCAGACCTCTCCTGCGGCGCCCACTGCTCCCCTCAGCAATGTACTTCGTCAGTCTGCCTGCTCTGCTCTCCGCTCTGGCTCTGGTGAATTCTCTCACCCTCTGCGCTTCTGACTGTACCCAGTGCTTGTATAAATAAATAAATAAATAAATAAATCTTAAAAAAAAAAAAAAAAACCTTCAAAGACACTATTTAAAAGGTCTAAAACAAGACATAAATAGATGCAAAAAATTCCTTATTCATAAATGGAGAGAATATAGTCAAAATGACTATCTTACCAAAAGCAATACATAGATTCAATAAAATCCCATTAAAATTCTAATGATATTCTTCCAGAAAATAAAACAAAGAATACCAAAATTTATAAGAAGCCATAAAAGACTTCAAATAGCTAAAGCAATCCTAAGAAAAAAAGAAGACAAATGGAGGCATCATGTTACCTGTTTTTAAACTATATTATAAGGGCCTCCCTGGTGGCGCAAGGGGTTAAATAAGCACAGCACTGTGAAGCTATCCGCAGTCTCTGCAGCACGAGTTCAATCCCCAGCCAGCCAGGAAGCAACCCACATGGTGCAGCAGACCTCTCATGTCTTGCCCGCTGCTCCCCTCAGCAGTGTATTTCAGTCAGTCTGCCTGTTTTGCTCCCCACTCTGTTTCTGGTGACTCCTCTCTCTCTCTCTCTCTCTCACACACACACACACGCACCTGCACTTCTGGCCTGTATCCCAGCTCTTGTATGCATAAATTAAAAAAAAATCTTTGAAAAATAATAATAATAAACTATATTATAAAATAACAGTAACTAAAACAGTATGGTACTGGAATGAAAACAGACACAGGACCAATGGGAACAGAACTGAAACTCAGAAATATATCCATGTATATATACATTAATACCTAATTTGTGGCAAAGAAGCCATGACCATACAAAGGAAAAAGGAGAGGCCCTTTAACAAATGGTACATGGAAAAATGGATGGATAAAAGAATGAATTTGGATCACTCTCTAGTTCCATGCACAAAAAAGGATTAAAGACTTAGACATTAGACCTGCAACAATAGAACACATAGAAGGAAAGCATTAGTGATGAATTTCGTAATATCGGTGATAGAGATATCTGTCTTTGGAAACTCAAGCCCTACAGCAAGGGAAATAAAAGCAAAATTCAACAATTGGGAACTATGTCAAATTAAAAAACTTTTACACAGCAAAATAAAATACTAATAGGTTAAAAAGATACCCTACTGAGTGGGAGAAGATATTTACCTATCACACAACCCAGGGAAACAAAGAATTCATTGGACTCAACAAAATAAAAAGCTAATTATAAAATGTGCAGCATATGGGAAAGAATTTACCAAAGAGGATTACAGAAGGTCAAAAGAGAAATGGAAAATGCTCTCATCACTTTTAATAAGGGAGATACAAGTCAACACCATAATGAGATATCAATTCACACCTGTGACACTGACCTACATTAAAAAGGCCTCCAATAACAGGTGCTGACCTGGATGGAGAAAGAGAGAAACAGTAACACATTCTTAGTGGGACTATAAATTGATGTAACTATTTTGGATAGTGGTCTGAGACCTACCTTAACAAACTAAAATTGGTAGTATCGTATGATTATCCAGCAATCCCATTTTTGGGTACCTAACCTGAAGAATACAAAACCATCAACTCAAAAAATTACATGTTCCATAATATTTACTGCAGTATTATTTATAATAAATAGCTAGGATATGAAAACAAAGTAAGTGCTCAGTGTTAAAGGACTGGATCAAGATGTGGTATATCCATTAAAATTGAGTATTATTTAGCTACAAGGAAAGATGAAATATTACCATTTACAGCAAAGGGAATTTATGTGTAGCAAAGTCAAAAAGATAAAGACAAATATGGTATGATTTGACATATATGAGTAAAATAAGAAATCAGAGTGGATGAATAAAACAAAACAACAACAAAAAAAAAAACAGAGGGAACTGACAACCAAAGTGAGGTTTCTGAGGTTGGGGAACCAGAGGTGGGGGGGGGGGAGACAAAAGGGTCAGTAGGACGGGTGGTAGAGGAAATAAAAAATAAGAATTCTGAAAAATCTGGGTTTAACAAGATGAATGTATTTAATAAAAAATATTTTTTTGAAAAAATTAGTCTATGATCCCATTTATATGACATTCTGAAAAAGGTTAAAAAAAAAAACAGTAATGATAGGGACAGATCAAGTGGTTCTCAGGCCTTAAAGTAGGGTATGTCACAAAAGGGAAATGCAGTTTTTGGTGTGATCCTGTGTCCTGATTGTGGTATAACCTACAGCCCTATTCTGTATCCTGATCGAGGCACTAGTTAAACCAATTTTACATGTGTTGTAGCTCACAGAACAGCATACCAAATAAAAAATCACCTTCACTCTGAAAAACTTTAAAAAGCCAGTTATAATCATCTTAAATGGTAAAAATAAGATGTGAGCACAAAGGGAGAGACACTGAGTTTTTGTCTTTTTCCTCTGAGAAATCATCCTCACAGCCACTTCCTCCAAATCCTTTTGTTGCTGCTACAGTGGTGGTGGTGGTGTTAAATCCATTTTAACCCTCATTTTGACCCCTTTTTTAATAAGCAATGGCCTCCCCCCACTTCTAATTACGCTGTCAACAATGAGGTAGACGACTGTATGTTCAATTTGTTATATTTCTTCTGCCTTAAGAAAAATAAAGTATCTTCTTAATAAATGTAAAGTACAATAATGACTAAAATTTTCTTCAATTTTTTGTGAATAAAACAATATTCTTAAAATTCATTTGTCATAAGAGTCTCAACATAATTTGTATATGCATTCTGAAAGAAAAAAAAGTTTAGCCCAGAAATCAATATATTTGGTCATTTTCCCAAAACCATATTTAACATTGGAAAGTGATTTACCAAAAAATATTTCTCTAGTCTAGAGCTCTATTCTACTAAAAATATTCTCCCATTAATATGTTAAGTCACAATTGATTCTAAAGATTTCTTTGCTGAAATACCAATAGGAAAGTCAAAATTAGCAAATGTCAAGAGACTACGAACAGATTTCCTACAGCAGATACTTCAATAAAGGAAAAAGGTCTTACCCCCATTAAGATAGACCTTTATGAAGAAATTATGGCCATTCTCTTTTTTCTAAATTACATGACTTACTTTAAAGCAGTACTGCCAAAAGAAATTTTAAAGTAGTCCTGCCAAAAGAAATACCACTGCCAGAAAGTATACACAAGTGTAACAGTAAGATTCTGATTAGTGTCACAAAAGACCAAAAAAATATATAAAGGGCCTGCCGGATGGCACAGCAGTTGAGCGCTGGGCTGTGAAGCTGCCCACAGCCTCCGCAGCACCAGTTCGATCCCGGGCCGCCGACAAGGGTCCCACATGGCCCACAGACCTCTCCTGCCGCACCTGCTGCTCCCCTCAGCAGTGTACTTCATCAGTCTGCCTGTTCTGCTCCCTGCTCTGGCTCTGGTGAATTCTCTCACCCTCCCGCGCTTTTGACTGTACCCAGTATTTGTATAAATAAATAAATAAATCTTTAATATATATATATATATATACATCAACTATAAACTTATAGGAGTTGATTGACAACTAGAGTCTCCAAATACAGATCCCAGAATTTCACTGAGTAAATGAGTTTTGTAACTAGTACCCACTAATGTGTAAATATTTTCAGCTTTAGGAAACTCAGCTGTTTTTTATCTATATGTCATCATTTATATAGATGGATCCTCAAAAATTTTCAAATGCACATTTAACTAGAAGATAAAAAGCAGGTAGGGAGTGATACTATACCATCAATTTAAGCATACTACTAGACATAAGAACTAGGCATAAGAACATGGATTAGACATTAAATAAACCTAATTTTAAAGTGGAACGCAAGTCAACCCACTAAATACAAGATATGTGGGTGGTTATTCACATGAACAAAAAATATCAAAAATAAAACTAAAGAACCACCTCCATGAAATGAGGCAGAATCCTAAAACCACTTAATAAATAAAAGGGTGTCATATTGGGTAGCACCACCACAGGCCTGGCCTCCTCTTCTGTGAAACAAAAATATGCTTCTGAACCAAAACACATCTGTAAGAATTACCTATATTTTTGCAAACAGGTATTCTCTCCTTCTTTGTACTAAAGTACTAGAAGTAGGTAAGGGAATAACATAAATATCTGAGGTGTGAACCTACTCAGCCAAAGTCAAAGACAGTGTTGTAAAACAATTATTACTTCAATAAATAAATAATCTTTTGCTAATCTTTAAAAAATTAAAATGTATTAGAAGCAAGTATAGGAAAGCTCCTAAAACAAATCAATTATAAAATATAAACCAATACCAATTCTTATGTCTTCCTAACATGTAAAGATTTTCACACTTTATAATCACTGAAAACATGCAGCTGTAGGTATTTCCAGCCCAGATGTTCCATTCTCCAGCTTCCATTCTCAAATGTTGGTTCTATTCAAACCACCTATAAGCCAATGGAATCACAAATAGCATGGACTAATAAATCATGAAGGCACTTTTAGTAACAAACGGCTCATCAGCTTGACACTTTGTGAAATGATATACATCCAGCAGAGAAACACCATTTATAGTGGGTACGTACGTTCTTTCCGGTGCTCAACTAAGCCCACAGCCTGCTTTGCCGAACACTTTGCAAACCAATTGTCCCCAAGTAAAACAGTGACTTCATTGGTGTGGACAAGTTTTCCTGGCATGAAGGCAAAGGGGCCAAGTGGTACCTTTTTAAAAAGAAAAAGTATATTTAAAAAGGCAAAATAATTAAAACACTAAAAATAAAGCATTAGAAACTGTACGATCAAGGTCTTTAAACACTAAAAAAATAAAATGTCAATTTCACAGAAATTTAACATTAAAATTTCACTAGGAAAAGCTGTAGAAATTTGTTTTAGGTTAATAAATCAACATAAAAATAGGAAAAGAAATCAGAGAAATGAGCATTGACTCTGAATGTTTGTATGTTTGTTAATTCATGAATTATATGAAAGCAAACTAAGTATTAAGCTAATAAAGAATACCTTTGATTTAAAAAACCTAAAACTTATTTCCAATAAAATAGTCTTTTTTTTTTTGCAAAGCAGGAATTACCAAATAAATATCTTTAGTGAGTCTACAAAATTAACAAAATATTTGGGCTAGTATAATAAAGAACAATACAGTTACAGAATATTTGGGCTTGTGCATTTAGGAACAAAGTCTTCATGAGAAAGAATGTGCATGCAATGAAAGAATCTGATCCACAGCTCATGAACAGATTGCTAAATCAATACGAAAGATCATTCAAACCAAAATTAGTCACACCTTTTGAGGTAAAATCAATGTTCTAGGGTTGAGTTCTGTGAATTATACAACATTATGGACTATTCCTGCTCTAGCTAACAAAAAACAACTGTCATATTTCTATCATAATTACAGTTTTCTAACAGTAAATTTGCATACCGAATATGTCAGATTTTGTGCTAACATTTATGCCATTTATGTCACCATAATATGATATTTAATAAATCTGAAAAAAGGAAAAGTAAATACCAACTATTACTACAATTAATGTATTTTTTATGATGTATAACAAAAGTCTTCTTTGCTATGGTAGTTGCCGCTGAGTTAGTCCATCAACTTGGCAATTTGTGAATTGACACATTGAACATAGAAACACCTTCTTACTCTACATATTATCTTTATAAAAAACAACATACTATTTTTAAAAAATTACAACAGACATACCATGATATTATAAGACAATTTATCAGGCAAAGTACTGAGTCTTTCTTGAAGGGCATTATAGTCACTATCTACCTTCTTCCTGTTGACAAAAAAAAAAACAAAAACTCAAATACTAAATGAATACACAAATTAACAATTCAAGTAGGCTAAGTATCATAAAACAAACCAAATAAAAATCTAATTTTATCAATTAAGCATTTTTAAATTTTAAATGCTGTTTTTACAAAGCTTAGCATGATTCCACAACACATTTATCAAAGAATTTAGACCCTCAAGGGCTGTGGCTTTTAAAAGCAGAACACTCACATCTTGAGAATTACTGTTTCCGCAGGTAAAAGAATATTTGAACTAAATAACATTTGTATATTGAGAGAGAGAGTGAAGAAGGGTTATGATGGTTGAGGGAAAGAGGGGCTCAAAATGAAGAAAGAAGAGATTTAATAATAAGCTTTTGAGTGATGAATAAACACTAGCTGTGGAGAAAAAATCATGGACATGAAATCTGATAAGATGATTTAGTCCTTCTCAGAAAACTCTACGTTGAAAAATGTTGGAGTCATCAACCTTTCAGTTATTCATACTAATATGGTTTTAAGGTGAAAGAGATTCAACCAGGGACTATAAGATTAGGTAGAGGTAAATACAAAAGGCAGCTCAATTTTGCTTTGGAATCTGTTTCATTTTATTTCAAAACAGCTATCTAATAAATTAACTTCCAACAACCAAAAGATGCCATTCTGTAGGAGCAGAAATGGTCCTGTTTCCAGTTCTCACACCTGCTGGAAATGAAAAGTCCTATGCAGAGATGCCTATTTCCAAACCTTCTCTGAAGATTAGGTTTTCAAAAGGTTCCCTGCAAGGGTATATGGCTGCAGGCAAAACCTAAGCACGGAAAAATTTTAAAGCAGAAGGGTAATGTCAGTTTAAAATAGTAACAAAACAAAAACTTACCAATTTAGTAAGTAATTCAAAGGAACATGTAGATACTGTCAGATTAAAATTAGGATAAATTACAAGAATCTCTTGCAATAATAAAAACGACTGTTCTATAAACCTCATGGAACTGGTTTCAGTTTACTCCTTAGCTTCCCTACAGCAACAGTAGCATAATTAATAAAAATTATCTCATTTAGTCTGAAGAATATAAAGGAATTTTACATGTTATTCATTCTAAAATTATTCCTATAGTAAATGTCACTTAGCAACATTGTCCTCTTAGAAGAGAAAGTAGAAGATGGAAAAATGACATTTTAGAGAAATCAGATCTCTACCAAAGAGAGGTAAGGCAGTGAATGTAACCTAGGTCTTCTGACTTTCATTCTTTCAAGCAAACTTTTTCTTTTTCTTCGCTTTTTTATCTCCTCTCTAAAATCTTATTTTTATAAATAAATGTCTTTATTGTATTTGCTCTAGGCAAAAATCACCCCACTGGACAAATTTTTATATGAATGAAATGGTATTTTAAAAATCCACGTACAGGACAATATAAAGAGAGTATCATTTTGAATTCAGATCAAGGGGTGAATCCCAGCAACATGACTGAATGTTCACAAGTTAACCCCAGTCTTGGCATCATCAATGTTTGTATAACTGGAATAATGCATATCTCACGGGTTCTCAACTAAAAATAACACTTGAGTATCCAATAGCCCTTTCTCAATGAAGTGTCAAAAAACACCCTCTACAATTTTCATGAAAAACTATTACCCACTAAGATAAGATCCCACTATGTTGAATTCATTCAATCTGATACAAATAATAGGACTTATTATGCAAGAGTATAACTAAAGGTAATCATTCGGGTGGCTCTGGAGACGTTAGTGAGAGCAATAAATGGTATACTGTCTAGTCTATAAAGGACCGATTTGGTACAATGCTTGTACATAGTAATCACTCACATTTAAATCACAGAACAGTGTATGTTTTAGACAAGGAATTCTGCAAATGCTCAAAGACTATATATACATCAGGTTAGGTGTCTTAAAGACTCCTATAATTTTAGAAGGCTTATATTAAACTTAACATTCAATATATCTTATGTTGGTAACTACACCTGGAAAAAGAGGACACCCTAAGAAAACATCTCTTGTATATGAAGAATAGATTCAACCACTGATAAATACAAGAAATCAATGTCAGAATTCAAAATCAAGTATATTCAGTTTCAACCTTATCAGTAAATTCGCTACAGAACAAAAACATGAACATTCTGAAGAAGTTTAAGTTAGTTACCACTTCTAAATTTTGAACTGTTTTCATAAATACAAAAAGGAGAAGATATTTAAAATACAGCCCAGACAGAAATCCACTTTGAAGAGTGGCCAGCAAGTCAGTGTCTCCAGAAGAAATTTGTCTAAAGTCCCACTAGTAGAAACATCCAGAATTAAGTATTTGATGAAAGACTATCTCCAAATGGTCCTCTAATATTTAGGACTCAAATAATCCGATCACTAAAGATCACAAAGCCTAAGCAACAAAAACACAAAAGTGACTATAAGAACTACTGTGTTCATAGAAGGTAAGTTGGACATCTTTATGTGCACCAAAATTGGCACCTTTTTTTTCCATTTTACTACTTACTACTTAGAATCAAATAATTAATGTTCGGACACTGTAATCATAAAATATGTAATAAAGAGAAGCAATTGCTTAAAATGATTTCTCTTCCAAACAGAAAATAAAAACCAGATATAGTTGTAATAAACCTCAAGTCTACTTATAGTATGTGAACCTCCTTGTTTGGCTTAACACATATAGTACTTACAGATTAGGTTCAGCCTTCAATTCTTAAAAATCTATCCAGTAAGTGAGATTTAATTTGCATCAGATATCCTCATGGAATATCCTTTATTATAAAAATAAATAAAACATTGATATACATATAAAAACACTTTCACAATTTTGAGTCTTGTGAATCATGTGGTAACATGTCCTCTGAGCAGCATTTTTTTGTTTTAAAAAGAAGCAGTTAGGGAAATAACACAACTATCAATTAGCATTAGCCTAAGGATGAAGACCAAGATCAACACCATGGGAAATACCTAATTCTTATAAGGTTAAAAAATATGGGAAGCAAGTAAGTGATGCAAGGACTTACTCCAAAGTGCATCAGAACAAACTGACTTATGGACAAATAGGTGATAAGGTCCACCGAAACAAGTCTCTTTTCTACATGTCTTAAGATTTTTATAACAGAATATTTACAAAAGGTGGGGTGGGAGAGAGGAGAGATGCTAGAGGGATTTCATATTTTTAATTCTCTTTTGAAACACAAAAAGTCTTTGTAAAGGAAAAGAAAAAAATTGTATATCCTTTATTTGAGGCAAGTGAAAAAGACTCCAACTTCTAGCTCTAAATAGTAAAAAAGGAAGATAAAACATATATCACTGATTGAAAAAAGACTTTGCTAATTTTCACTTTAAAGCAGAAAGTTGGAATAGGTCAGAAAAAATGATATTAAATTGATTTTTTAAAATCTCCTAACTACTCTCGGGCCTCCCCTGGTGGCACAGCAGTTGAGCGCTGGGCTGTGAGGCTGCCCGCAGCCTCTGCGGCATTGGTTCATTCCCCAGCCGCTGACGAGGGTACCATTAAAAAAAAAAAAAAGTAAAAAAAAAAATCTCTTATTACTCTCTTTCCCTTTACCTAATACCCTAAACCAAAAAAAGGGAAAAAAAAAAAAAAAAACAGAAGATGCTTAAAAGGCAAAAAGAAAAAAGATGTCACATTAATATTAATATCTGGGTTAATGTGGGGCAGAATTCTTTTTCATTTTTTAAGAAATCATAAAACCCAAGAATTTAGAATATAAATATACAATTTTCTTTAGAAATGATTTTTTAGTCCATCATATCCAAACCATTTAGAGCTTTCTATTAAGCATGCAAGAAAACCTCTGTTTCAATTCATTCCATTTCATTTACTGAGTGTTGTCTCTGCAACCAAGTCTTACACCATAAGCTACAGGGACTGTCACTCAAATATAGCCACTAATACAAACAGATGCCTGGGTTTTCACCTCTACAAGTAATGCAGAATATTCAATTCAGGCATGGGTTACATACAGGTAAAAATCATCTTCACATTTTAAAGATAATGAATTTTTTTCAAAGTATCCTTTCAAATACTCCAAACAAATTGTTAAGGTTATATTAAACAATAAAAACATTCTTGAAAGAAAGATTTATGTGGTTTTGCTATTAGCAATTGCTTAAAAATGTGTCTGTATTTAATCAGTGGCTTTTTTTTAATCATCAAGGCAAAATATTAAGACTAATGAAATCTACCTCAAAATTTCAGGCAATGTGGTGGGATATTCCCTTTGCTCAACTTTCTTATAGCCAAGATGTCACCAGAAGTTGCTGATGGTAACGCTAATGCATGCACATTATATTTTGAGTTCATCAGAAACTTTATTATAATAAAAATATACAAAGATGAATCTAAATATAAAAACATAACTTTTCAAAAATTAATGAAACAAAATTAGAGTCAGTTAGCTAATGAGAGTTCTGCAGGTTAACTTGCAACAATTAGACAACAGGCGATTGACACTCATAGCAGACAAGGGACAGAGGGACTCGTTCTAGTGCTCCCTCTATGACAACCATCACAGGTGTCTTAAGATCCGCCCGTTACCACCGGTACCTGTTTCTTCATTAGTATTCTTTTGCTCTAAGAATAAATGAGATGTGATTCAAAGTAACAAAGTTTAAAAATTCCATAAAATACATAAATCTATATGTGCAAGGATGATCCCAAAGTGCTAGTTCAATTAGTTTTAAGACATGAGTTTACAGGTAATTTGGTAACTATACGCATGACTCATCTTTTTAATGGTCTGCATTTTCCTTAGTCATACTCTGATACCTCTCCATCTATCTTTAATATATTACACTTTAGACTTTTTTTAATCTCGAAACAAGAACAAGCACCCTGGATTATCACTGAGTGATCACAAATACTTATACCTTCATTTCCAAACCGTGCTCTTCTGTGCGTGAAAGTTTTATTTTATTAAAAAAAGGAGTAAATATGAATGAAATATCGAACAATAAGAACATTCTTGAAAGTATCTAC